CCACCTATAGATAGTAACCCAAACCACATCACAGCAGCCACAACACAGAGTTTTGATCTTTGGCACTACAGATTAGGCCATGTTTCCCATTCCAAAGTTCCTATTTTTCAAAAACTCTGTACCTCTATAGAAACTTATAGATCATTACCATGTGATGTCTGCCATTTTGCAAAGCAAAAGAGGCTCCCTTTTCCTACTAGTTCAACTGTTTCTATCAAACCATTTCAGTTGATACATGTTGATATTTGGGGTCCAAATTTTGTTCCTAGTCATGATGGATTCAAATACTTCCTAACTATAGTTGATGATTACACCAGAATGACATGGATCATTCTTCTAACTGCCAAGTCAGAAGCAAGACCCAAACTTCAAAGCTTCTGCACCTATACTGAAAGACAGTTTGAGACACCAGTTAGGAAGATAAGGAGTGACTAGGGTAGGGAGTTCCAAATGACAGAATTCTTCCACCAAACTGGCATTTTTCATGAACAGTCTTGTGTGGAAACCCCTCAAAAAAACAGCAAAGTTGAGAGGAAACACCAGCACATCTTAGCCATTGCCAGAGCCTTAATGTTTCAATCACATCTACCTACTGATTTCTGGGGGGATTGTGTAAAACATGCTGTTTATCTAATCAATAGGGTCCCTACCACAGTGCTAAACAATCTGACTCCCTATGAGAAACTACACAACAAACCCCCTGATCTCACAGAACTTAGAGTTTTTGGTTGCTTGTGTTTTGCAAGCACACTCACCAACCATAGAACCAAATTTGATTCCAGAGCAAGAAAAGGTGTGTTTATTGGCTTCACCACAGGCATCAAAGGTTATAGGATCTATGACTTAACCACACATGAAGTTTTTACTTCTCGTGATGTCCAATTCCATGAACAACACTTTCCTTTCCAATCCTCCCCCACATCAGTGCCTACAAACAACACTACCCCTTTTCCCACCACCTGCCAACCCTCTTTTTTTGATGACCTTCCCCCCTCCCTGCAACATTCTACCACTCCCCACAATGCTCCCCATCCCACCTCTCCTTCTGATTCTGACTCAGATTCAGAAACCAATACATCCCACCATTCCCCACCACCCTCTCCTGCCTCATCTCCCCCTCCCCCTCCTCCTCCACCCCCACCTCAACCTACCAGAAAATCTACCCGTGTTGTTAAACCCCCATCCAAACTGCAATCCTATCACTGTAATCTATTACAACAGCAGGCTTTCCCCAGTCATTCTTCCCCACTGCATACTCCAGGTATCTCTCATCCTCTGAGTAATGTTATTCACTATGATTCTCTAGAACCATCTCACAGAAGATTTGTTCTTAGTATCTCATCCTACAGAGAACCAGCTACTTACAAAGAAGCTGTCTTATCTCCTGAATGGAATGCTGCCATGGAGATTGAAAAACAGGCTCTAGAGAAGAACCATACATGGGACATAGTTGAAAAACCAGAGGGTGTCAAACTTGTTGGAAACAAGTGGATTTACAAACTGAAGTTCCTCTCTACTGGCATCATTAAAAGGCACAAAGCTCGTCTTGTTGCCAAAGGATACACCCAACAAGAGGGTGTAGACTATCAGGATACCTTTGCTCCTGTAGTCAAAATGACAACTATTCGATTGTTCTTAGCAATTGCAGCTTCACAGAGATGGCACATCCATCAACTTGACATAAACAATGTCTTCCTACATGGAGAGTTAGAAAAAGATGTCTACATGAAACTCCCTGATGGTTATAAAGCCCCTACTGGTTTCATCAACCCTGTTTGCAAGCTCAGGAAATCACTCTATGGTTTAAAACAAGCCTCCCGCCAGTGGTTTGCTAAACTGGCAGAGAAACTCAATTTACAAGGTTACATCTCTAGCCAGGTTGATCACAGTATATTCTACAAAGCCACACCTACTTCCTACACCTGTGTTCTGGTTTATGTTGATGATCTTGTAGTGGGTGGCACTGACCTCAACGAAATCACACAATTGAAGACATTCCTACATCAACAATTCAGCATCAAAGACATGGGGGAACGACATTTTTTCCTTGGTATTGAGGTCGCAAGAACTGATTCTGGAATTCACATTTCTCAGAGAAAGTATACATTAGAGATAATTGAAGATGCCGACTTGCTTCACACCAAGCCAGTCAGCACTCCAATGGACTACAAATCACACCTATCAGCCTCTAATGATGAACCCTACCCCAATCCAGAACATTACAGACACCTCGTTGGCAAGCTGATTTACCTCACTACAACAAGACCCGACATCAGCTATGCCACACAACAAGTAAGCCAATTCATGTCCCAGCCTACTGTTTCTCACTACAAGGCAGTTACAAGAATTCTTCGTTACTTGAAGCATGCCCCATCTACTGGCCTTCTGTTTTCTTCATCATCTTCCCTTCAATTGCAAGCCTTCAGTGACTCCGACTGGGCTGCCTGTGTCGACTCCCGACGCTCCATCACTGGCTACTGTGTCTACCTTGGTTCTTCCCTTGTCTCCTGGAAGAGCAAGAAACAAACAACCGTCTCTCGCTCTTCCTGTGAAGCTGAGTACCGAGCTCTCGCTTACACCTCCTGTGAGGTCCAATGGTTGTTGTATCTGCTCCATGACTTCCGCATCCCACACCCACAACCAGTTTCCCTCTATTGCGACAATCAGTCCGCGATTTACATCGCCCAGAACCCCACTTTCCACGAGCGCACCAAGCACATTGAGCTTGACTGCCATTTTGTTCGCGACAAAATCCAGGTGCACATCATCAAGCTTCTCCACATCTCCACTGTCCATCAGCTCGCCGACCTCTTCACCAAGCCCCTGCCGCCGGCGACCTTTGCACTCCTCCTCTCCAAGCTCGGTGTCCATGAGCTCTGCCCACCAGCTTGCGGGGGGGTATCAGGGGACAATTCAAAAGAATTGGTCCTCCCGCTCTCTGAACAGAAGACGAAGACGAACAGAAGCTGGAGCGACGTCGTACCAGGCACGACTTGAAGACCAGTCCGGAACGACAGCGTCTCGGAGCAGACTGAAGAAAAGACCAGAACGACAGCGTCTTGAACCACTTTGTCACATTTCGTTTTAAGTCCACATGTTATGTTTTTAAACACTTTTCCTCTTTTGCATTGTACTTGCTACTGACGCAAGCTTGTCTTGTTCTACAAACATTGACACAGCTATATAAGCTGCCAAACTAATGAGAACAACTTAGGTTTTCAGTTTTCACAATCACAAAGTTGTTGTTAAAACAGTTGCTAGTGTTGTGGTACCTAACTGATCGACGATGATAGCGACGGGAAACTTCGTATGGCAAGGAAAGGATGGACAAATTAGTTAATGGCGATTAGGGATGAGTGCTGGCGTTCTTAGAGAAGCAGTAGTGATGGAGAGGTGCGATAGGTCAGGGACAAGTGAAGACTTGAAGAAGTAGCTAGTATTATATTTATGGAAGAAGATGGAGCACCGACATTCTTTTGAAGCTGCTCCATTAGAAAACAATATCTTTTGCTATGTAGATATAATTGAGAATGGATTGCCCATGTGTCTCTTGGGACAAGTAGATGAGAATGTAAATGAGTTGTTGGTGGGTGGTTTCAGCTGATAGCTAGATGTGTATGGGTTTTCAGTTAGTATAATTATGATTGGGGAAGGGTAATTTGGGAAATGCCAAGATAAGTGTGAATCGGGGTGTTACAGAAAGATTCAATAATACTTTTTTTTTTTTTTGTAGAAAATAGAAATACATTTTCTTTTCTTTCTACCCTCTTCCGAATCCCTAAGAAATTGCCCATAATTTCTTTAAATTTGGTTCTTTTTTTTTTCTCAATTTATGTGACATTAGGTTGGGTCTAGGGCTTAACCGCAATGCAGTCAAAAGCGTGATTCTAACTAGATGTATAAAAGGGGTAAAATCGTAAAGCATAGTATCAAAGCGTAAAAGCGTAAGTTTTTTACGCTGACTGAAAAATAACTAAAACTTTATTAAGTAGGACATATACTATATAAAATATGAATGCACAGAATTTAGTTAAGTTAATAAATACATGCAATTCATGCCTAAAGTAGAGCAACTTATAGCATCTTAATAATAAGTTCGTAAACATAAATCTTAACAATAAGCCACTTTTTCCTCTATGCTAATGAATTCGGGAAGAGCCTAACTGGTGAATTAGATCACTCTATTGAAGTTGAGAATGCATCCAAGTACCTGGTATGTATTTTTTTTAATCTCAAATGTATCATATTGTTGGTGATTTACTTTTTAAAATATACTTTTTATAATTAATTTCATGAAAAAATACTCATTTAGTGAACTAAAAGCGTAAAAACGTAAAGCATTTTGGTGAACTAGAAGCGTAAAAGCGTAAGCTTTTAAGCTTTAAAACGCAATTTAGTTCGATTTTATACACTTAAGTTTTTATATAGAAACGAAAGCGGTTTGGTGACCCAAAAGCATAAAATTGTAAGTTTTTAAGTTTTAAAGTGCGATTTTGACTGCATTGCTTAACCACAACTGTAACAGAGCCATATATGCAAATCGTGACAGCACCGCAATCAGTTAGTGATTGACCACTAACCACAAAGTGCGATTAACGATTATCTGTGATTAACGACGTTACTAACTGTAATGATGGTTTGGGAAATATTGGTATGTGGCTATGTCATTGTGTCATAGTTAACCGCATCAATAATCTATTAAATAGTGATTACCTGGTATTTTGTTATGGTTAACCAACAAACCGCAAAACATGCAATATTGCTAACCACAATCACAAATAATCTTCTTCTTTTTTGTGGTTAACAACTAACCACACGGTTAACAGTTTAACTGCAAAACCGAATTCCCAGCCCTAACCACACGGTTAACAACTAACCACACGGTTAACAGTTTAACAGGTTTACTGATGAGAAATACAGTTTGTTGTTTGGTGGCTAATTTCCTCCTCTGATCATCAGCATAGACATTTGATTATGTTTATGGAAATAAAATTTATTCTATGGACCATTATCTATTTATTGTCCTATACTTCGTAGGAAAAACTTGTGTCATAATGTAATCCCAATCAAACAAGACAAAATCAATGCATCATTGTTCTTTATCTACTCATTGACATCTTGCCTAACATTAGGGATCAAAATCTCTCTTCCTGGAGACAGGTAGCATTAAAATTCACAGCATCCACAGAAATCAGAGCAAAAAGCACCCAAAGAGGGAAAGGAACAGAGGATTCCAAGCAATTCAACCATTTTGCCTTGGAATAGCAGTCTCGCTTGGCCTGATAATCTTCACCACTTGACCTCTCTTCAGCCCGTAGTATCTGGCAATTGAATCAGTCAACTGGATCCGAGGCAGCTGGATTCTAAACAACACCCGGTCAGATTTCAACCTAGATCTTTGAAGTCAAGACATCGATAATGTGGACACTCACCTGTGTTTCGTTCACGTTTTTCTAGCAGAGTATTCTTTTCCTCATCGTTAAGCACTTCATGTGTAGAACCGAGAACATGCTCTTTGATATTGACCAACAGCTCTGCCTCCTGAATAAATGGAAACAAAGGAAGGAATAGGGAATACTCTACTACATTAATCTCGTTCAACAACCAAAGAGTGTGAGCTCACAATACAGAACTTTTGAGTACATTCTAAAAAGACAGAGTGTGATGTAACGGAAATGGATTATGCACGCAGTAGCTAAAAGAACAGGATAAACATGATAAAGCAAAAAACCCAATAAGATTCTTACCTGGAAGACCTCGAACTGAAATTCGCTCGACATATCAGCTATAAGTATTCTAGCAAATGGAGTAAAATTCTGTTGAAGAACCAAGATCGCCCGGAAGACATTCTCTGTTTTCATGCGATTGATATAGGTCTTCATTGTTTTCACACCAATCTTCGCTTCCTCCGGGAAGAAAACATAAATCTGGTAGAGCAGAAAGATTAAATTTGGTAACCAGGAGAAAAAAAGACTCGGGGGCAAAAGAGGCTTGACGGAGTATCCTGTACTTCTATGTCGAGCAATTTGAAGAAAAAGACTGAAGAGCGGAACAAAAAAAATCATCATAGCAACAAATAAGAAGACAACATGAATGGCTGCCGATAATTGGTTTCACCGTCTTTAAGGAGTGAAATACTCCAACACAATTCTTGTTCCAAACAGTAACATTCATTTCAGAAGAGTAAAATGGTTGTTCAATCAAGCTCTCAATAACGTTCTCCGTGATGGAAGCATTTCAATGACAAGCGCATTTATCAAGATACTCATGCTCATCCAGTTGTGGGTCCAAATGTGTTTTCTATTCTTCAAGCAAGTGGTATACTGTCAAAAAAAAAAGTGGTAGCTACTCGAAAAGGTTCGATATAATATCACTCGCAAACACATGCCATTTCCAAATTCTCAAACTTTAACCAGGTATACCTTCGCTCCGTACAAAACTATTGCATGAGACACGACGAGAAAGGCATTAATGTTACAACTCTAGTTCTACATTCTGATGGAAGAGGGAGGGGGGGTTGCAAAAAAGCTTACCTTATCCGGGAGATCATTTTTCTTAGATTTCTGGATTGTAAGGTCTTCCCTTCTCATATTTGGCCCGTTCATTGAAATAAACTGATCTTTGCTTATATGAAGCTCGGATTCATCAATGAGGTATCCACGGTCCCTTAGCATTTGATATACAGTGTTTCTGATCCTCCACAGCGTAGTGATTTCTTCCTCACCGAGCGTCATCTTCCTGCTAACAAGTTTTGAACAGAATCATTCACTTGGTATAAAAAGCCATCATAATGCCAGCGAACAGAGATTTGCATAGACAGACAGAACATATAATCCCGTGATCAGAAAACAGCCAATTCAATCATCCATGAGAAAATATCGAAGAACCCAATCAACCCATGGTGAACACAGCTGTAGAAAAATAAACAAAGCAACATCGGCATAAAAACAGACGAGTTATCGGCGATCTTATCACGCATCTCAACATCTAATCAAACCCTCCAATACAAGACATTACGTTGGCAATAAAAAACAAAACCCTAAGTAGAACGCCAACGTCAATTCCCACTCGGTGCAAAATGCAGCATAGCAAATTGAGCTAGGGCACAGAGGGAGATGAGCATAACTCCAAGCCTAAAGACACACTCCTCACTGCGTATTACCAGCAAAACTAACGACTTCGAGCGCTCGACGAAGCTCTGAAAACCAGTTACACCGTTCTCCTACAAACAACCTAGAATCCGTATTTGTGGAAACGATAAACCTACGGAAAGCGACTAGAGATTGAGCAGCCGGAATTGGGAGGGTTCAACTAGGAAGCATCAGTTCGTTAATGCACGTACTGGAAGAGGGCAAGAGGGTCACAAACCTGGATAAAAGATTCCGGTCAAGACCGTAGGTAAAAAGGGGTTTGCTCGGAGAGAGGAAGCAAACTGGTACCGATGAAGAGAAGAAAGCGCTCCTCCGCCAAAAATCCCTCTCCGGCTACCTGGCTTCTGGCGTCTGCTAAAAGAAGCGGTAAAAGAAGGGAGATTAAATGAACGCCGGCTACTTTAACATAAATTAAGACCGTCAAACCGTGATTATTAATTTTTACATCTGCTTCCTCTTCTCATTTTTCCAACTTTATTGTCGACTTTACATTGTACACTACCGACTGGCACCGTAATTTTCAATATGAATTAAAAAAATTATGATTTCTTTTGTGAGATGGTTTGAATGATTTATAAGATATTTTGATGATGATTTTATTTTTGAATTAGTGTAATATACAAGTCGTATATCACTATATTTTATATATAATGAACGCTTCTATCAACGGTTTACCAACAGTTTTGTAACGGTTAACTACTGAACCCTATATCACTAACTTTTCCGGTTCAATCTCCGGTTCGGTTATGAAAACGGAGGGATAATTATGAGTGATTTAGGTATGTAGTTCAAACTAATATGGATAAAATGGATGGATATTAAATGTTAAGTAAAACAGAAGGGAACAATTAGAAGCGAGCATCTTGAAAAAATCCAAAACTACTACTATAAAAAAATTACAAAAATACCACTCATACTCAACAATTTCCAAAAATACCACCCTTCCACACAAAACGCGCCTCGAAGGCGCGGTTCACAAACAAAACGCGCATCGAAAGCGCGGTTTCACCCTTCCTATCTGTCAAACCGCGTTGCCACGTGGCAGCCCATGCAACCGCACGATGAGGAGGCGATCTGATGGCCAAACCGCGCGCCAGCTCAACGATCCTCATCGCTCAGTCAAACCGTTGCCCCGAGGCGCGGTTTGCGCGTTGGGGAACGTAAACCGCGCGCTGGAGGTGCGGTTTTAAGTGGGATAAAAAGACAAAACCGCCCCTCCAGCACACGGTTTCGTCCCTATATAAACCCCACCCTCCTCCCACTTTCTGCACACCAGAACCCACATTCCCCCTCTCTCTCTCTAACTCCTCACTCTACCCACCCTCATCTCCACCCAAAAACCTTATAATTAGTTGTTTTGTTGGTTGCGGCTAAGTCCGATCTGCCTTCAAACCACTTTTTCTTTGGTTTTCACTAAAAAATCGTCGAATCTCTGTCCGGATTCTGGAAAAATGGCAGATTTTATCCAAGAAGAGTGTATTTACTATGATGATTATCAAGCGGTACGTACTCATTTTACCCAATTGTTGCTGTTGTTATAATGATTTATTTAATTTATATACTAATTGATTTATGTTGTTGTTATGCTATCGTAGGTTGGGCAGGATGTTGATATATACAATCAACGATATTATGTTGATTAAGGTACGATTGATTCGACTATTTTATATGATCAAGCCAATCATCGTTCAAGAGACGTTTGGAACGACCACAAGGTACATATTATTTATCATCACTTGTAATTTGTATTTTGTTAAAGTAACTTACACCCTTTTCGGTCTCTTCCGTGTAACCATTCCACCGCAACCCAAGCGTGAACCTTTGGAATGCCATCTGCAATAAAACTGTAATTAAGTTACTAACATAAAATCACAAAGGACAATGAAAAGTAATACAAAACAAACTTACGAATTAACGTTAATGGCAAAAACTAAATAATTTAAAGGTGCACAACTGAAAATTGAAGAAGAAGGAGGAGTGAAGATTTTGAGTTCTCTGGAACAACCTTTGATAGGCGAATTTTACAGTACAAACCGCGGGAGGGGGGGGGGAGCGGTTTTAGGTTTGCCATGCAGCCCCACCCCCTGCATGTCGACATGTTGGATGTCGGGTGACCAGGCACAAACCGCGCCTTGGGGCAGCGGTTTACTTTGCACAAACCGCCAGTGGGGGGAGCGGTTTATGTCTGCACATGGTAAACCGCGGCCTGGTGGTGTGGTTTACCAAGCCGACATATAAACGCTCCCTCACGAAGCGTTTGTGGTAGGGCAGCCATATAAACCGCGCCTTCGAGGAACAGTTTTACCTGAAATGGAAAACCGCCTGTTGACCAGCCATTCCTGATGTAAACCGCACCCTGGTGGCGCGGTTTATATATTAACCGCCCCTTAGAGGCGCGATATTTAATAAACGGTGGTATTTTTGGAATGGGTGGTATTTTTGTAATTTTTTTTAACAGTGGTAGTTTTGGATTTTTTCCCGAGCATCTCCGACTTAGTCAAATGATAGTGCAGGTGTTAAGAACAGAATATTATGTTAGGTGTCCGACATGGTCTGCAATAGTACTTTGTTGGTTGGTAAGTCAAATATTGTGATAGCAACCGACACATCTATAATACGATTTTTACAACTTCTCCAACTAAAAATAGTAGGAAGGTGATCGCATTTAAAAGGGTTGTTTTTTTATCTATCAAATACTAACACTTATCTTTCTAAAAAACTCATCTGACTTACTTGATCGTCAAAGAAGTAACGAACCAAGTCAACCGACGAGCCAACCTCTAATTGTGATTGCAGACGCCTAAGAACAATGGAACTCGATATGGCATGCAAAGAGACTTACTTGGCTTGAACATGAAATTATGTGTGTCACTCCAACTTTAGGAAACATCAATGAGTTTTGTTTAAGTGGAAGAACGATGACAAGAAATTGGAGTTATCCCTTCATCTTCCTTTTGGGATAGATTGAACCCCTGATTAGTCCCCCCACCCACGCCATTGAAAGACCTCCACCATAACCAAACGACCAATACCAGACATGAGCCACAAAGAAAGGCCCCCCAAAAACCTGCTCCCCAGTTTTGTTTCTACTCCTCCTCGGCCTACCTATCCCCTGAACAATGGAGCCAAAACCTCGTTTCATTTCATTTACAGCCCCATTGAAGACTCATTCATCCACATCACATCAATTTCCCCCTTGTACAAAGATCGTTCATGAATCCACCAGACAGAGAAATTTCACTTCCACAATCATTCACAGCTCTGTCTACAGTAACAGCAACCCTTTTAACCATTCACATATTGAGACAAACAACAGCACCCTGGCTGCCTCGGTTCCATTGGTTCCTGAAGAAGAAAAGAAAGAATTCTGCACCACATTGCAGCCGCCTATCAAATCAATCCATCCATCCATCCATCAACTCTCTCCAGTATTAGACTGCACTAGAGTAGACTATACCCCATTTGGTGGGCTTTTGGCAATTGAATTTGTCCCCCAACAACCATCCACCTTCCCATTCACCTCCCTCTCTCACTTCCTTTTGCTTCTTTTCACAGCCCACAGTGAGGGACAAAAGGCAGAAAAATGGGGGAAAAGAAAAGATGAGAAAAGGGCAAAGAAGAGTGAGTGTGAGAGGCTACTAGCTGCAGCAAAGAAACAAAACTTTACACACAATAATAATAATTGCAGGCAGAAGGGGGGAGCACATTTATGATGATATCCAGGAAAATCAGCACAAATAATAATACACATCTGAATCCAAGCAAACTTGGGTTTTACTTAACAAGTTTTGAAACTAATACAAACACTATAGATCAATATTAAGATATATAAATATGCCAAAGTAGAGACAAAAAAGTGGTGTGGATCCTCATTCTGTTTGGATCCATGAACCAAAATCCAAATTGGCAGCAGTATTCATAAGGGTTTCTGCATTCAGTCAAGCTAGTTACTGCTTTTGCACTTTCTCAAACGCTCTTGGTGCTGCAAAAAGAGAAGTAGAAACACTCTGTGACATTAATTAATCAGTGTGCAAGGAGAATAGTTCAATAATCTAGTTCAACTTGGTGTACCTAGGCCAATGGCGTCGGAGCTCTTCATGATCCTCAGCCTTGTACAGGAGTCGATGAACATCCTGGTAATAAGGGTAAACCAGAAGAAGATGATTGTAAGGGTAAGTATATCCATCCTGAAACGGGCTGGGGAAAGACTTCAACTTTATTATGCTATTATTTGAAGAAGGAAAGGAGACTAATTACTTCCAAGGAACATCACCAACAAGCATCCAGTCACCATCTTTGTCTTCGTACGTGAGTACATACTCGGAACCATGAAGAATATCTACCAGTCGGCTCTCGCTCACTCCGTCTCCCACACCAACGCCATGAGACCCGCATTGACCTTTAAACCCCGACCACCATTGTATTGTTGCACAACAGAGAAAAGAAAGTGAGAAGACAAAGAGATCCCATTTAGATCAATCAGAATCCAAGCATGCATCTATATCATTATGTCTTCACACGCATCTACAAGTTGGGCCAGGGGAACCAGCAATGATGCTTACTGTTTTGTTAATGGGTGATAAGACATCATGAAAGCTAAGAAAAGCAAAACAGCAACTATGTTAATGGCTCTGCCTAATCACATCATCACTTCCAAATATCCTTTATTCCAAATGCATAGTCACCACCACCACCACTACCTCTTTTGCTAACAGATCCGGCTTGGGAACACATAAGCACGTGTTTATACTTCCTTATCCGTCGGATTTACGATCAGATCAGAGAGTGCAGAACGTAAACATACTAGAATCACTCTTTTTTTTCCCCGCGTGTATCGTAACTATTTAATCACGAATCGGATGGTTTAGCACGTATAAACACTGTGTTGATGCCTAGTTTACTGTTTCGCAGCCATCAGACTCGTGATTTTCTAGCACTACAACCATCCGATCGTCAATCAAATAGCTAATCACAAACAAACACTGGGTTTACATCTATCCTGTTCATCAACCTAACATCCACAAATTCCTATTTCAAAACCAATTACTTTATCAACCAGCTCCTAAAGTAAAATTAGAACAAGGGGATCTTTGTTTAATAATGAAAATAAAAATACTATAAACAGTACCAATAGTGAAGCAGCTGAACATGTTTTCGAGAGCAAGAGAGAGGTCCTTGTAGCCGCCATAAGTCTTGAGATCGACTTTCCTGAGATACGGCGCTCCGTCCATGCTGACCTTGACGTACAAACAAACTGATGATGAGGATGATGCTGATCCCCCAGACTGTGGATGGTGGTCGCCTCCTTCCACCACGTCACTGTTCTTCGGACTAGGATGGGAAGCCATGGTGTTCTTCCGAAACGAACGAATTGGCGGCCATCCAACCACTTGTGCCCTGAACAGACCAAAAACAGGGGAAACCCAAAATTTCAATTTCAATATAATAAACAGAGGAAAAACAGGGGAAATCCTAAAATTTCAATTTCAGTAATAATAAGCTGAGGGAAAACAGGGGAAACAGAAGAAAGAAAAAGAGAGACGAGATGGAGAGTAAATTAATTACTTAGAAGCTGGACCGGCAGCCTGACCATTCTTCTTCTCCGGCGCAGCCGGCGACGACTGATTCGGCAACCCGCCGTCCTGAACGGACTCGGAATTCGCAACGGCGGATGGGTTGTTTCTGGGAGAGGAAAAATTGGTGTCAGGTGAGGAGAAAACCCAGTTGCCGGAGCCGCCATGGATGGCGAAGGAGAAGCCCCTCTTGGGCCTGGAAACAGAGGACTTGCTGCTGGGCAGGGCGATGCAGAGCTCCGGGCTGCCGTTGTCGTCTCGCTGGGGGGAGTGGGACCCGGGTAACCCGAGCCTCAACTCGGTAGCTTTCATGTTCATGGTGAGAGCAGAGATGGGTTTGATATCCCCTGTTTTCTCCATGGAAGTGTCTTCTGCTGGTGGTGGCGAGAAGCCTATGTAATCATGCTCCAAGGGCACAGACATGAAGGTTGGGAAGAAGAGAGTGGGAATTCACGTTGTGAGTGTGAAGAAGAAGGGAGAGGGAGAGGGAGAGGGGAGATTTGTGGTTTGGTTATATTATGCAGAGCGAGCAGAAAGGGAGAGAATGCAATGGAGTACTGTTTCCTCTCTGGTAGCCAGCAATAAGTAAGTGAATAAATAAAGGTGGAAAACAATTATTACTTTACTGAGAGTGGTGTTTGTTTTTGCTCTTCCGGTTCTACTTTTTAAAAAATTTGTGAAACTGTCGTTGTTTCTCCTTCAGTCCTTCTCGTCTTCCTGACACTGGAATTTAGTTTCTGCGATCTTTTGGAAAATGAACAAACAAACGCATCCCCTGGATTTGCTCTCTGATTCAATTCACACCACTGTTCCGTTCCGCGAGAATGGCTTTGCTAAATTGCCTTTGCTTATAAAGGTTTGTCCAGTACTCCCCTAATGCGATCGAGTTTGCTTCCATCTGTCACTTGTACGGTGGATTTTTCTACGTATTAGAGACGGTCATTCTCAATCTAATCCACCAATCTATTAAAAATATCCATTAAACCCAATCCAATTGGATTGGTGGATTCATGGATTGATCCATGGATCCAAATGACAAATTACGATTTGGTACCTATACTATTTATATTTTACATTTTGATACCTTAAATTTAATTTTTTTACTAAAAATATCATTGGAAAATTACATTTTGGTACCTAAATTTTTTTATTATGACATTTTAGTAAATAAACTTTTCACATTTTACATATTGGTCCTTAGTTGAGGATGTCATTTGAATTCATGGATAATCCACCAATCCACTTGATCCAATCCATTTGATCCATGGATCCACCAATTCATTTTAGTTGACGACCGACAACATATTTTGTAGTATTATACTAAAGTTGGGACTTACAAGTATTGGTTTCGAGCTCGAAATCTAGCGACATTATGTTTGAGTCGTAACTAGGGATGGCAACAAAACCCGAACCCACGGGTACTTACCCGACCCAACCCGGTCAACGCGGGTAAAACCTGCGTTGACGGGTTTTGGGCCGGGTTCGGGTTTAAACCCGCTACACTATTCACCGGGTCGGGTTGGGTTTGGGTTTAGGTAAACCCGCCCCATGGGTACCCCCCCACACACATATAATTACTTTTCCGGTATATTTAATATTCTAAATAATATATCTTCCTTGAACAATTCATATTCTTTATGTTTGTGGAGACATATATAATTTGTTGTTTCTAATTGTTTAGAATGAAGTTGATATTATCAAAGCAGTTAAAATTGGGATTTTACCTAAAATCGAAAACTGGGGTAAAATCGGAATCGTAAAATCGAATCGTAGAATCGTAGGATTTTAAGTACCATGTAGAAATTAACATATGATAAGATTAATAAGGTAAATAATTAATAACACAAAGACTTATAACATTTAAAGTGATAATTTTTAAGATTAATGTTCCAAAATCATCATTTTAATTGTTATTTAATGTGTAACTCAAAATAATTTATGAGTAAGGGATAGAGCTCATGGGGTTTGGCTCTTGTTTATCATGTTGTGTCTAGGTAGTTTAACTCAAAGTAGTATTCCGACATCGTCTACTAAGCATGATTTAAAACTAAGAATAACTGAAATCCAATAAAATAATTAATGTCATTGGTTTGGTACAAATATTTTTATTAATAAAATAATTTGTTAATAATGATGTTAATTCTTACGCACTAACAATATTCTGACAATTATTTTACCGATGAGTTAAAAAAGGAGAAGGGAAAGGGGTTGACCGAACCCTAATTAGTTTTTTTTCTTCTTTTCAAATGTTCTTTTAATAGGAAAATATATGAGAAGATCCCCGTCATTGCCCTTTCCACCGAAACAATTCTGCTTCTTTTGAATTGGCTCAAGCTTCCTATTTTGTTCACATAGGATCAAAATCCCGATTTTGGTACGATTTTACGATTTTAACGATTTTAATCCCGATTTTGAACGATTTTAAGGTCCATCGATTTTAGAGTAAAATCAGGATCGGAATCCCTAAGTAAAATCCTAAAATCCTACGATTTTACGTTCAAAATCCCGATTTTGACTGCATTGGATATTATGAAGTGGAGAGTGAAGAAACTTAGTTGACGAGTAAGAAGCTTTCAATTAATCTTATTGTTTATAGATGTTTATCTTTAATTTTGAACAATTTGTATTTATCATTAGCGGTTTGCTTGTATGCTCTAGATTGGTGTTTTTTGTATGAATAATTTGTATGAGAAAATTATTGTTAAACTTTTATTTTGAAAGAAACTTGTTATTGTAATTTTTTTACCACAAATACCCACGGGTACCCACGAACCCGCGGATACCCAGCGGGTTGGGTTTGAGTTTTTCAAACCCAGCGAGTTTTACCCCGAATTTTTTTGACGGATAAACCCATAAGTTTGGGTTTGGGTTTGACAAAACCCGCCCCAACCCGACCCATTGTCATCCCTAGTCGTAACCCAGCAAAATGTTGGATTCGTGGCCAAATGAATTGGTAGAGTTTTCACCTATGCTTTAAATGTAGTTGTAATAATAGATTTGGACTATGACAAAACTAAGAGAAAAAATTAGTTCTCGTCTCCAAATTGATCCGCTTGATTGATCGAATCTGATTTTGTTTTGAATTGGTATTCCACATCTAGTTTTTGATTGTCTTGTTGTCCTTGATTAATTGTATCCAAGCAATTTCATACCATGTATTTGTATTATTATTTTTTATAAGGTAATTGGCTCGTTACATTTTTCTTTCTACACATATATAATGAAATCGATCGACATGTCCTAATTCATTTTCAAAACAAATTAACGTCGTGAAGCAAGTATAAGTAATGATATTCTGTGTAGATTATTGTCATTCCTAAACCCTCTTATTAATTATATAGAAGGAATCATAATCTGAAAAACTTTTTTCTTATAAAAAAGGAGGAGGGAAAATATTGTATTGAGCAGGAAATTTTGTCTTTTATTTGGGCTTAATTGCAAGTTTGGTCAATCGAATTGCTACAGAATTTCACGTTTGTCACTCAAATTAATTTATTCCATTTATAGTCACTTAAATTAGGTTAACAGTCCAAGTTTGGTCACTGGCCGTTAGTCTCCGTTAACTTTTGCTGATGTGGCGGTCAACTCTTATAGTTGACCGTTAAATGCATGGGCCGTGCGCCTCTGCCCGTGCAGCCTAGGCACGGCCTATATAAATGGCCGTGCACGGCCATTGTGGTCAGAAAACCAACATTCCTTGCCGGAAACCTCTCCCCTCGCCGGAAAACCGCGCCAAACCCCCCTTTTTTCGACTTTCCCGGCCACTTTGGGTGTTTTTTTCACCAAACCAACACCAAACCCACTCTTTCTACACCCAAAGCGGCCAATCCCTCGAGTTTGAGCGAGTTTGGGCGACGTCTTTGTCGCCGGAGGCGATTTCCGGCGAGAATCCGGCGAGGCTCCGACGAGCAAATCCGGCCAGTTTTTCGGCGTTTCGTTGATTCCATTGTCTTCCTCTCATCATCCCCTACACCTCTACTTGAGTCTCCAGGTTTGATTTTGTCCTTAACTATGTTAATTGTGGAGAATTGAGTGTGTAGGGTGTATGTTAGAGAACCTTATTGAATCATGCGATTTGTGTGAAATTGATTGAGGGGAATGCATGGGATGTGCTTGAATTATGTTGGGCAATGTCCCCTTTGCTTGTTTGAGCCCTTGTGTGCAAGAATTTGGCCAATTTCATGTTTAACTTAATAGTGCACACAAGGTGTTCGGTGAAATGCCTGTTTTCCATGCCATGTTGTGGCCACCGGTTGGGGCCCTTAATGATGTAGTTTGAGGGTGTATTTGCTATGGATGTGAACCTTGAGTTGCCTACTTTCTTGTGAATGTGCACCCCCACCCCGATTATGCTTGATTTATCGAGTTTTTGACCCCCGAACTATGGATGAAACCATGGTTCGGCTGCTTTCTGTTCTTAAGTGTGGGGGTGGGCTTGACCTTTTCTTTGGCTCTTTTGGTTCCACGTTGGGTTGTTGTTTTGCAGGGCAATGGCACAACCTAATTTCCAGCACCCTTTCATCCGGGATCTCAGGAGGGGCTCCACCGCAGAGCGCTTCAAGAAGGTCGTGCAAACCCCGTTTGGCGCCCACCATTGCTGGTCCAAACGGGAGTTTCGGCGACTGCACTGCTACGAGCAGCTTTCCGCCGTGGTCGCCAACACCGCATGGCGCCGTCTGCTCCAGATCTGCGAGACGGTCTACTACGAGCCGGTGTGGGAGTTCTACACGACTTTCAAGCACAACTCCACGACCAGATGCCATGACAGTACAGCCGTCCAATTCAGGCTGGGCGGTGTCCCCCGGTCCTTGAGCTACCACGAGCTGGCCGAGGCTCTCGACCTCGACCTCGACGACAGTGCGGACTACGTCACCTAGGTAACTGAGCCACCAGAGGTGGACTTCAGGAGGCTGTACACCAGCCTGGCTCAGCCTGGCAAGACGCGTCCTTTCAAGTCTGGGAGGACGAAGGCATCTACCCTGCAGATCGAGTACCGACTTCTCCACCACCTGCTGGCGAAGTCTTACACTCCTGCATCTGACAGCGCCGGCGCCATCACGAAGAGGCCCCTGTACTTCCTCGATTCGATCCGCCAGCGCCGCCATCCTCTCCACCTGGGTTCGGTGGTGGCCAAGACATTCGAGAAGATGGCCACAGAGCTGAAGCGCCTCCACTGCGCCCCCCTCATCACTCGCCTGGTCACCTTCTTTGGCCTTTCACTGCAGGGGTGCACCAAGGAGGGGGACACCCTCATCTTTGGCAGCGCGACGATCGGGAAGATGCTGCTGTTGCGGGAGAGGAACGGTGTTCAGTGGGTTGAGGGATTTCCGGAGCCTCCTATCCCCGCGGAGCCCGTACCAGAGGAGGAGGCTACCGATGAGGTGGATCCCGAGGAGGTGGATGCTGCTGCTGATGCTGCTGCTGATCCCCCACAGACTGACTTCCATTTCGGGGGTAGCAGTTCCACTTTCCAGGGCCAGGACTACTTCACCCAGCAGTTCGAACAGCTGAGGATCCAGAACCAGCTGATCCTCGACCAGCAGATGCAGTTCCAGCAGCAGTACGCGGCAGATCAGGCCGAGTACCGGCACAGGCTGAACACGATCCAGACTCAGCAGGACGTGACTCTCGCCCACATCGAGCGGGAGAAGCGCCGTTCCCGGCGCATGCAGGAGGTTCAGCAGCACCTGCTTCAGCTGATTCCGGGCAATCCACCTGTCTGGAGGACTCCCTGGGATGACTCCCCTCCACATGACGGTGCGGCTGGCGCTGCTGATGATGATGCGTTCATGAACGAC